TTATTTAGAGTTAGTCGAAATCTAGGAGTTTAGTTATTATCCAAATTTATTTACTACTTTAAATACGAGTTGTAAGCCTTATGGCAATTAATTGAGTGGAAATTGAATTGAAATATTAATTATTGAGATTTTCTCTAATTTCTTAAATTCTTGTTTTTGATATTTAAAAATCAGCGAGTTCAATTCTTTAATTTCATGCGCGAATCGACGAGTCCAATGTCTAGATTTCTGGTATTCTTATAAATGAACATAAACTAGAATGTGATTGCGTTCCCGTATTCGCTTAGAATCAACGAAATCTAGATAGCATGTTCGTTCATAATTATTTATTGCTTCCGCTACGCTACGTCACCTCCCCACTGGCCCGACTTATAATAAGTTGGACATTTTCAATCGGTCCTTGCAACTCTCGCATACATCATAGAAGGACTCATTTGCTAGTAGTTGAAGACACTAATTTCATTCCTCAATTGAAGAGCCCTTGCACGAGGGAAATATTTTGATAGGAATTTCTTGGTTACGTCATCCCAAATTGTTGGCTCCTTAAACGAAATGAAAGTAGCCTAGCTTTCGTTTTGTCTCTCAGCGAGAAGGAGAATAATCCAAGGCGAATAACATCATTTAATGCTCCATTGATCTTGAACGTAGAGCAAGTCTCGAAGAATTATGAGAGGTGCTCATGTGGATCTTCATGAGAAAGACTCAAGAACTAATGTGGTTCTAGAACATCTCAATGGTCCCTAAACCCTAAATTATTTGCATCTACTCATCACTTTTGACATTACACGGCTCCAAAATAAAATTCAGATAGTTCATGGTCAATTCTCCTTCTATGGGCATGACTATAGGGCCATTTGAGACACCATTGATGAGGAAAGACAACTTGGAGGAGATGTACACACTACAAAAAATTACTGATTTCGCGACAAAAAAATGTTTCGCAAAAATTGAGATTTAGTTGCAACAGTAATTTAGCGATGACAATATGTTTGTTGCAGGTATTGTCGCGCTATATGAGTTACGAAATGCGTTCTGCGATGACTTTTGACCATTTAGCGCGTTAACAAAATCGCGACACTATTTGTTTGACGTGGAAAATACGGAATAGCAACACAATATTTGTAGCCATAATATCATCACAATATATATGTCTCGAAAAATTAAAAGGGCGACAAGTCAGTTTGTCGCAATGAATATTCCAATAAGGTTTTTACGAAAAAGATGTTTATTGAGAATGTTGAGTCACGGAATGTATTCTGCTACAACTTTCGGCTATTCATCACATTATCAAAATTGCAACACTATTTATTTAACGCAAAAAATTCAAAATAGCAACACAATATTTGTAGCCATAACGTCGTCACAATGCATATATGTCACGAAAAATTGAAAGAGCGACAAGACAGTTTGTCGAAACAATTATTCTAATAAAGTTTTTATGAGAAAAATGTTTGTTGCGAATATTCTTTTAAAGGTATAATTTTTTTCTACCTTTTTTATTTTGCGACAATACATGCTCGTAGTAATATATC